TCCAAGTTTACCTTTTGTTTTGTTTTCTTGGTTGCATTGGATTTTTATCAGTGACAGTATTTTAAAAACTTATGGTGTAACAGCTTTGGTTTCTGTTCCTATGGCTCAAAGTCTTTTTAAAAAGACACCAGAGTTTCAAATATGTTGCATGCTGATATTGATTGGAACCCCCGGATCTTTGTTCTGGGAATTCCACCAAATAATTTAAGTAAAGTACAATACTTATTTGGTATCCTTGTTCTCGTAGCCAAAAAAACGATAACAATATGTTGGTATAAACCTTCACCCCCTACTGTAAATCAATGGAAAGAGAAACAAGTGAATGTTTATACGATGGAGAAATTAACAGCAAAATTAAACTTGTCCACTGGTTTATTTGAGAAAAGATGGAACCCTTTGAAGACATATTTCCTATTAATATTGTAGTAAAATAAATGTAAACACACAGGTACATATTTTATAGGCATACTTAACATATATTTCTGTTATGATAAAAATAAAAGTCACTCGAGATTTTTCCTTTATCACATCCCCCAAGTAAAAAAAAAAAAGAATCCTGGATTTTCAGCTCGCTGACTTGTTTGGTTGTTGTTGCTCAACTGTTTGTATGGTTGTATTGGAAATTGTTGTTTCTGGCTTATTGTATTAATAATTGATTTTGAATATTGATCTGATAAAATAAAGTCTTTGCAAAAAAAAAAAAAAAAAAAAAGACACCAGAGAAGGTATATTAAACACTCTCTTAGTGTTAACCGAGATATTATTGGTTTAAAGTTATATTTGCTTTTCTGTCCGCTTTTATTATGTTTTTATCTTTATTTGCTTTTATTCCCCTGCTATTTCCCTCTGTTTTGTTATTTCAGTCATATAAAGCACTTTGGAATGTTTTTGTTCTGGCTTGTGCTGTATAAATAGACTTGTCTTGCCATCCCTACCCCCACATGTTGCTGTGCACTGCCAGTTCCAGACTCCCACTTTTTACCCTTGCTTAACTTGAGTATTTGTAGAGAATATTAAAAGACTTTGGGTGGATACTAAGCTACACACCAGACCAGATAAAGTGTCTGATATGATTAAAAACAAATAACATGAAGTAGGAATGGAAACAAATATCGACTCATGATTTAATTCATAATTAATGGTTTTATTATTTGCTCCAATCAACTGTAAAACTAACTTATAACAAATTTCTTTCACTGTTACAACGTTACCACCAACCACTAGTGGGTGCCGCAGTTTATTCTTAGGCGGACTCTCACTGGTAATTGCAAGAGAAGTAGTGCCGCAGGCAATGAGGCATGCTAGAGCACAAACATGTCCAGTCCAGAATTATTTACACTGTTTATTGCCAACCATGACACAGAATGAGCTTTATGTGATTCAGTTTCTAAAAACAGAAACATAAATCGCTCGAGAGCTGTTTGGGTTTATTTAAACTGTTTAATATCTACAAATGCAGAATTTTGTTTTGTTTGTAAATATAAACACTAAATAGTCTTCTAAATAGCGCCTATTTTGCCTTACTTCATTTCAGAGCCGCATCAACTTCTCTGCTGTGCTCAGAAGGTGATGATGTGATGATTGAAAACATTTCTAAAATGATAGAAAAAGACCTGTTAGTATGTAGCACAGTGAATGGAGAAGACTTTTGTGCATTTATTCACTATATTGAGCCAAGTTAAAACCCCCAGTTTAAAAGCGACGCTAGAGGGTAGATTAGACTTCTGCATCCGCACACATCAAATGTTGCTTGGGTCTGGTCGCAAACCAGTTTTGCTGGTATGCTTCTGCATGGTCGGTCTGGAATTTCTAGGGATCCACAGCAGTTTCCTGCCAAATCACAAGGGGGAGCCTATTCGAGAACTCGTGAGAACTTCACGTATTTATCTCTCAGTCTCTTCCAACTTTGTAAACACTCCTTTGAATCTTGCTCAAGGATCTGGCTGATCTCCCTCCAGGAGTTTGCAGAGACCTTGGCATCTTTATATAATTTGTGTGAGGCATCGTACAAGTGGTTGTACTTCCCAACCTCCTCGATTGACCTTTTGTCGTAGTTGTCCATTGTAGTTGTTCCTCGGTGTTTAGAAATGGCGTCTCCCGGCACCGAATCGAGAAGGACGAAGGACTCTGCATGGGGGGCGTGGTCATGCACAGAGACAGAATTTACGATTCCAGAGGCTATGCGTCAGAAGCATAAATTGGCCTTAACATTGCAAAGTAATTCCCATTACTGATCACGCTGAGGTATTATGTCATTTTGGGCCTCCATTCCCCTCCACGTGGATCTACGTGGACAGAATTTCTGCATGGAGAACCTAGGAACATTAGTAACTATGAATAAATCAGGTGTTTCCACCATTCTGTCTAAGAACAGAAGCAGAGCATTAGCCTAAGGTGCCCAGATCATGGCAATGAAAATGAATTTGCTTAACGGAAATGTCTTATAAAAATGTTTTTTTTCGCTGTGGTGTTTTTCTGGTCATATCAATAATTAGTGTATCTATCCCATCTAGGGTTGTCACGATACTAAACTTTTCAACTCGATACCGATACTAAGTAAAATATTCGATACTCGATGTTGTTTTCGATACTCGAGACTCCAAAATTCAACAGACATTTTTTCATTAATAAACAAAATACAATAAATAGATAAATAAATACAATAAACAACATTTTGAGGTTGTATGCTATGCACAATATTAAGCAAGCTTGATAAAAAACTTACAAAATTAAAATTAAATGTTCCTTCCTTGGCTATGCTTTGCACACATAACAATGACACTAGCCAAACCAGTTAAAAAACCAAAATCATTCTCAGCAGCTGCACCTGTTACAGAATCACAGTGTTCAGAAAGTGCATTTTCCTCTAATCTGCACATAAGATGAATGACTGTTTAGGTGCTACTGGTGGTGGCACTGTATCGATACATTTGAAAATAAGTATTGTATCCGGATACGTTTCTTTGTCAATACTTTTTTGAGTATCGATACTTTTGACAACCCTAATCCCGTCATACAGTCCCATTATCAACAGCCAGATGTTACTACTGCCAATAAAGAGGAAGGTGACAGGAAGTTGTAGGAGGACAGTTGATGTGTTTTGGACATTAGAAAAATAAGGACAATGTTTGATGCACTTCTAAAAAGCAGCTAGTGTGAGCAAAATTTCCTCCAAGAGGAACGTATTTTGGCAATCCAGAGAAAATGTGGTGATTTTTCAGCCAGAGTGACTTGTACACCAAATCTGTGTAAAGAAAGCAGCATCTAACAGATCCATCAGTCAGGGATTATCGTAGAAGATGATCTCCAGCATATTAATGCTTTAAAACACTCTAATATTAATTCCTCTCATAAATTTGATGTAAATTCACACACCAATGAAGCTCATTTTTTAATATCAATAAAAGGCATGTAAACATTTTAAACCTTTGCACAGGGTTCCCGCGGATCCTTAAAAAGTCTTAAAAGGCATTGATTTCTTCAAAATAAAACTAAGGCCTTAATTGGTATTAAAATGTCTTAAATCAGTCTTTCGTAGGTCTTAATTTTTAAAACATCATAAATAGGATTATTTTTATTAGGATTTATTTTTGTAATCTAAATAAAGCGTTAAAATTTTCCTTTTTATAAAAAAAAAAAAATAACGGCTTGCTATTATTGGTTCCGTCCCGATAGCGAAACCAATAAAAGCGTTGTTGCGGCCGGGACATTTGGGAGATGCACCATTAACTTTTTGTCTGGAAAATATGAGCAAGTGTAAATGTAGCGAAAATTGTCTCCAACCAAGAGTTTCCTCCATGGCTAAAACCAGGGAACATACATGAGGCTCAGTGGATTTATGCAAGAAGCGATTCAAGCTCGGAACGATGGGAATTAAGGCAGTGGAGTCGCACATGCGAAGCACGAAACACAAAGCGTCAAAATCGAGTTACCGAGAAACAGCCGGTATTTCTCAGTTTAGTTCCACCCTTGTCTCTGCAACGCCTCCACTTATCACCAAATCAAACATACTAAGAAAACCATACAAAGAAAAATAGCTGCAAAAAAGACTTAGCACTGGTTATGTTGGGGCTTTAAAACGGATTTGTTTTGTTCCCTGCTAAAACAAAGTTTGTGAATTCAGTTAAATAATTGCTAAAATATATCTGTCATTTGTGTGTTTTTAGCTTTCTTCCTGTATGAGAAGCTTTTCTAAATTTGAAACATTAGTGCAGTGGTTTATGCAAAAATAAACCTTTGGGTTAAGTTGTCGCAAGCAGGTTTTTCTTGTGTTTCTTGTGAATTTGGTCTTAAATTTTTATTTCAAGTGGCATTAAAAAGTCTTAAAAAGTCTTGAATTTAACTTGCCTCATGCTGTAGGAACCCTGTTTGCAGTGCTGCTAAAACGTGAACCGTGAAAATAAAGACCTCTTTAAGATTTTACCTTCATGAATCATTTAGTTGGTGTTCTTATTTTAGTTTTGGTGTCTGCTCCCGATTTTTGCTGCAGGGATTATCGTTCCAAACTTCTCAGGTTAGATAGTGACATCAAAGTTATTTACTGTTAAAGCTTGTGACAAAACATCCGTCTGTGCAGCCGTACCAAAAGCTCAGTGGAAACCCTGTACAAATTTAATCGCTGTTTTTCCCCGTAAAAGCCTCTGCAGTAGTTTAGAGAGCTCCCTGACAACAGGAAGTGACATGTCCTACATTTCTGGTGCCAGCAAACTGGTTTATGTTGAATAAATGGATGTATTAATAGAGTAACCAGACCGCAGCCATTCACAGCAGAGAGGAGAGGTGAGCCTTACAGCTAAATATTATGCTACAAACCAGTGGCTCGTGTGAAATGCTTCCTGGTACTGAATCGCTTTCACCTCTAAATCGTTTTTGGTTGTTTAATGAACACATTAAAACTCTGTTATACTTTGTTGTTCGGTTGATTAAATAAAGCAAGCGGGTGAATCATTTGGCTGTAAAATCAGAGACTCACTGCCTCATCTTTCTTTTGTCCCCCTCAGACTGTAACACTAAGACCTTTGAGGCTGTGAAATGTGAAAAAAAGCTCCAGTTTTTCACCCTCAGGTAAGAATCCTCTTTTTAGCTCTTCTCCTTCTCTCATACCCTTCCTTCCTCAGCGTTGAGTTGGTGTGGCGTGAAATGTTTTCTCCTAGAACTTAATTAACAGGCTAACAGCTGTAAAACCACAGTGTTTATGTAAATCACATCCACCAATGCTGGGAGCTTCACTTCTCCTTCTGCTGAGCTGTTGCGGCCGTGAAAGCACAATAAAATTAGATGTGAAATACATTTATCTAACTCCTCCAAAGCCGGTAAATCTTTTTCTGTTTTCGTTTAACTGGACAGTGGGTGTGCTTACTGTGAGATTCACAATTAATTACTGCAGCTTTGGTTATTGGATGAAAAGGACGTCTAAACAGAGAAATCAGAGCAGCTCAGCCTTTATCTCTGGATTGTGTCATGGCCCTTATCATTCAAAAGCAAAGGAAAGTCACTCCGGATAATGAATAAAGGTGAAAAATACGGATGTGCACTGCAAAAATGATAATAAAAGTATGTTTTTCTTGTAATAGACGTATTTTCCCTTGATGTGAGAATTCAATTACATTCAATTCAGTTTATTTACATAGTGCCAATTTACAAAACATGTCATCTCAAGGTACTTTACAGAGACAATTCAACAAGATAGAAGGTGGCCGAATTTTACTAATTCAATAAGTTCATTTTCATTTAAAATAAGAAAAAAAATCTGATTTCGGATCTTTTTTAAGGACAAAAAAGATAATTCCATTGGCTCTATTTTTATTGTTCTCTTGCCACTGAAAAGGAATATTAAATACTTGCCTTGCCTGATTAATGTCATGATCTGCCATTGGAAATCATTTACTAGATATTATTCCGTTGAAATTATATTATACGCTTCTAGTTTCAAGTGCATAATATCAAATGATCTCATTTTAAGGAAAAAAAACTAATTCCAATCACAAGACAATTCAAGGTGATGTACATGAAAAGAAAGAAAAGTGCATTATAGTGCAAGTGATGAAACCCAACTAATTTGAGTGAATAAAATTTTATAAATATTAAATACGATGATTATATATGAAAAAAACTAGTTCTGGATAAAGAGTAGATTCGATCCAGAGGACCTGAGAGGTCTGGCTGATACACTGACAACCAGTCTGTAATGTATTTTGGTTTTAAGTCATTCAATGATTTATAGGCGAACTTTTCTAAATTAAAGTCTATTTTCTGAAATACAGGGAGACAGTGTAGGACTTTCCAACTGATCTGATGTTCTCTACTTTCTTAGTTCTAGTGAGGATGCAGGCAGTAGCGTTCAGGATCAGCTGCAGCTGTCAGATCCACTTTTTAGGCAGACCTGTGAAGACACCGCTGCAGGGATCAATTCTATTAAAAGAGAATGAAGTGGGTGTTACTTTTTCAAGGCGACTGAGACTTTAGTTCTTTAATCCTGTAGATGTTCTGTAGGTGATAGAAGGCTGACTTTTTTCCTGTCTTTCTGAGGCTCTGGAGGTTCAGGCCTGAGTCCATCACTGCACCCAGATTCAGATCCTGATTGCTAGGTTCTAGCTGGATTAACTCAGGCTGTGTGCTAACTTTTGAATAATCTTCCTTTGGTCGAAAAGTTTTTACTTCTTTGTTTTGATTCAGCTGAAGACATTTTTTCCCCATGTATGTGCTGATTTGTTCTTTGCATTTACCTAGAGCTGGAATGGGTTCATAGACACCTGGTGACATTGTAATATACAGTTGAGTGTCATGTACTTAGTTATGGTAACTAATGTGGTTTATTAAGATCCAAGTTAAGGCTGATTTATACCCAGAAACCAGGGCGTCTCTGTGTGTGTTGCAGTTAACGCAGATATGCCCCCTCCTTTTCCGCAGACACTCTGGTGCACCTCCCCAAAATTGTAGGTGATCGCAGACAGGAGGCCTCTGATTGGTCAAATCTACACCCGCTTTACTCTATGCGTATTTCCTGTTTGGTAAATACTGGCTTGTTTTGTTTATATGACCGCCATTGTGGAAAACGTCTTTTGAAGATGGACCAGCTAGAAAAGCAAGGTGTGCGAGAACGCTGGGACCCTTTTTCCACCTGGATTCCCGCTCTTTCTCACTCATATCCCTCCGTTATCGCACAAACTTGCCCCCAGTTCATGATCATCCGTCTTGCTTTGTGAATAACATAGCGTAGACCACGCTTCAATATTGGGCATAAATCAAATATCTGCGCCATACCTCCGAAAAACTCCCTGCGACACACTTCTGCGGTAGTATAACTAGCCCTTTAGGGGAAGCATGTAGACAGAAAATAAAAGGTGCACTAAGACAGATCCCTGGGGAATGCAGGAAGGGATTTCTGTGGGTCTCTGATGTAGAGTTACCTACTGACATAAAAAGGTCCTGGCCTCATCAAGTACGATTTATACCATTCCAGCACAACAAGAAAATATGACCTGGTAAACTGATGCTTGGGACACTATTTAACTGAACTACAGGACTCTTTGTTGTTTTTCTGGGTTAAATTTCTAACCAAGTGGTTTTCTTTTTTGTTTTGTTTTTTTACCGTCACCCCTGCAGTGTGAAAAGATGGAGGATATGAAAAGGCCACACAAGCCCTTCTGTCGAAATGCACTTTATGTTGCATTTAAAGCTCCAAATAGTTTTTGCTTTGTTTTTTTCAGCAGAAGTTGCTCGATCTGAAGCTGTGTCCACATCCTGACACCTCCCTGACTCGGGCATGCCTCAGGTACAACCTCACACAGTTCTGCTATGACCGGTCTCCATTTGAAGGGCTTCTCACTCTTTCTACTTACTCACTTTCAGCCGGGTATGAATGGGATGGAGCCTGCATTTGGCGAGGCCTACGGGGGCCACAGGGGACTGCTTAGCCCCTGCCCGCTGGCCATGTCGCCACAGGGGGGCAGGACAGAGTACGATCAGGTTAGAGAACAAGACGGCACAGAAAAAAACTACTTATCCTTAATTTAAGTTATTTTTTCTTCTAATAAACAAATTTGCCCCTCCGCAGAGTGTACTCCTGATGCTGGGCTCCCCAGCATCACCAAGGAAACGACCCTTCGAGCTGCTGAGTGACCTCGTGGACGACGGAGGGTTTGGCGAGGACCAGCATCCGGAGCGTTGGGACGTGTCTGCGCTAGATGAAATGGCTCGCTACACTAAACTAGGCCTTGGAGTTGGAGGGGAGCTACTGGCCTGCTCAGAGGAGGACATCCTGATGGGCCGCTGGGGGCGGAGCTGGGAGGAGCAGGAGCAGGAGGAGCAGTGGAAGAGGAGGGACAGGTGCGCAGCCCCCCCCATAACCCAGGAAGTCAAGGTCACAGCTGTGGGGAAGGAGGAGGCACATAGCTCTGTTACCATAGCAACACAGAGGGAGTTGTGTGCTGCAGGAAAAGGGATTGGAGTTGTACAGGACGATGAGGTGTCAAGGGAGTCCACAGTGGAGGTGTATCAGGTGGAGGAAGAGGCCGAAGGACAGGAGGTGGTGGCAGCAGCAGGGCTGGTTCTGGAGCACTGCAGCGAGGAGCACAACTACTCTCTGGGCCAGGGAGGGGAGAAGGCTGCAAGGCCGACCCATAACTCCGAGCCTGAGGAGGCGCAAGAGGCCGACCTTCAGAAAGAGGTCCAAGGCAGCGAGGACAGCCAGGCTAACACCGAGCTGGAAGAGGAGGATGACGATGAAGAGGAAGAGGAGGAGGGAGCAGAGGAAACAGCAGTGGAGGCTGAGCTTTCCAGCTCCTCAGAAACTGAATGTGGTGAGTTTTGGCTTTACTGTGTTTTTTCTGTGCGGCGAAGAGCCGACCGGTCCCAGAAAACTGCATGCATCAGTTCATCATGGGCCCAGTCCAGCAAATTACCTTCCATTATTTGATGACGAGCAGCATGTCTAAACTTCGATGAAACGCTGCCCTCCAGAGAGATGAAAAGACTGAGGGTTGAAGTAGAACCATCTGTTACAGTCTGGCGGCCCTGGGGGGGGAGGGCTGGTAAGGGGGTGGGGGGCGGCTGGATGGAAACATGTTCAACAGTTTGGTACCAACCAGTGAATAATTTCTCTTAGTTTTAAAGCAGCAGAGGACTCAGCTGCCTCCATATCTAAGATTGATTTGATTCTGCTTTTCTCACCTGATTCTCTTCAAAAGGGTTTCTCTGTAGTTAGATCTCAGTGGATAACCCCTAACAATGTCTGGACAAACATGTTACATTTTTATTATGCGTTTCCAACAGTCCATATACAGTTTCTAAGTTGATGATATGAATAAAATCATTCACATGCTTCTTGGAAGAATCTTCACAGATATGGCTAGGGTTGTAAATCACATCCATTATGGCGATTCGATTCAGCATCGATTTCCTGACCCAGCGATTTGATTATTTTCGAGACTCAATAATACACCGCGATACGATTCAAATAATTGGTTCGTGTTTTTTTTTTTCTTTTCTTTTTTTTTTACACCTTACGGGCTAGACAATGTTTCAAATTTGAAATCGTTATGCATTTTATTTTGAGAAACAACAACAAATAACAGAAGTACAAAAGTTGCACTCCACCTATTCCTATTAAAACCTCATTCACTGAAAAATAATAATGCCCCCGCGTTATAGACAGGAGGCCGGCTTGTTTTTGTTTTTATGACCGAAATTGCGGAAAGCAACTCGTGAAGTTTTGTCGTCTATAATTCTCATTTTGACGACTTAAAATTGAAGCTAAGTTTTATAAAAATTCAAAGTTCTTAAAAAGCAGAAAAAGTCTCAAACAAAGATAAAAATATTTAGGCAGAGGCAGCTGAGTCCGGGTCCAGTGTGTTTATTGCTAAACACAACACATTCACACTGAGCTGGTCACCGGTGAGCCGAAGCTGAACAAATGGTGAACACAGCTCCCTTTTATACATTTCTTATCGGTGGAAAACCCCCTTCAGAACATATTTCAGTCTTTGGTAAAGGTCACATTGATATTTATCTGCAAAACACGGTGACATTCATAGACACATCTCATTCTTGTGAGAGCAATCTCTCAGGCCATGAAAACATCTGGTGCATTCAAATCAGAAACTTATGACGGTTTAGTCACAAACATGTCAGAACACATCTTTCCCTTGCTTCAAGCCATGTCAGTCTGGCCTACTGCTCCCCCCTCGTATCTTAGTCAAAGCATCACCCTTTCTGGGACCATTACCGCTCCGTGTGCCTTGAAAATAACAACTCTTTTTGTATGGCCAAATTTTGCTGAGCTGGGCAACCTTGAGATGTCAAATATTTCATTTTTATTGAGTGTGCTTTCTTATCACTAAGGGGCCTCAACCCTGCGTTGTCCTGCAGACTTCACTCCTATTGGGGCCAGGTGCAATAGTTACACATACTCACTGCTCTGCTTTTCTCCTCTCTGGCCTTGAATGGCTCCATTCATTGCTCTGTTTTTTTTTCTTTTCCTTTTTGGCCTTGAATTGCTCTTATAACAGTATTTGGGAAAACAACTTTAAACTTATAAAACATTAACTTTATTTTATCTTATGATTAGTGCAGATTAATACACAACAGTTTGACCCGCTAGAAGAGCGAGGTGCGCGAGAACGCTGGGACCCTTTTTCCACCTGGATCTCCGCTCTTTTTGGCCCTCATGTCCCTCCGTCGTCGAACTAAACTCACCCCCACTTCCTCTCCGCCTCGGCCGTATCTAGACCCACAGTGTGTAGCACAGACCACGCTTAAATATTGGGCATAAATCAAAAATGTCTGCGTCAAGCTCACTGCAACAAACTGCTGTAAGAGTATAACCAGGAAGCGAGGTAGGAGGGCAAAATAGGTTTAGTGCCACCGCAGCACGGGAGGAGAATTACGCCCAGGAACAAATGGATAAAAATAGACCGGAGGAAAAAAAAAAAACATAAATCGATACACTTGTGGTCGTATCGATGCATCGGATCGTCGGCTGATGGATCGATGCATTGATACAAAATGATCATTATTTACACCCCTAGATATGGCATAATGATAACTCCCTAAAATGGTCTTACTCCCCTCCTTGATGCACTTGCATGGCAGGTCATGGCTGCACTAAATCCTTGAAGGTTTGATGTTGTACCTGACACTAAGATAGCAGCAGATCCTAAGAGAGATCAACCGCTACAGGTTTTTTAAGGCTGATCCCAATGCCAATTATTTTGACATCAGTCCAACTGATTCCCAATATGTGCTGTTCATCTTTTTGAGCCGTTGTAGGTACCAGATCTGCTCGGGTCCTGCTTCATGCCAGTGACGTTACGCTGCATGATTGGCTGAACGTTGCCACATGATGTAAAACATAGTGGTTGCCCAGACAACGATAATAACATCCCACAGCGTCCGTGTGCCGAATCTGGAGCATTTGTAGCATTAGCGGGTCTAATGACCGATGAAGTTTTACCTGAATACTGAAAAAAAAATTAGTTTTTGGTGAACAAAGTAATTGTTAGACCATGATATAAAGGGGGAGAGCTGGAAAGCGCTGTGGCTAGCTTTGCTCTTTTAGCCCAGTCAGTTAGCCATACTAAGCTACACTACTTTTAAATTCGTGCCATTCATTTTCTACAAGTAGAATAACTGTTTTATTTGTCTAACATCTCTACGAAATTTATTTTTTAAGATATCCCATTGGACTTGCCGATTGATGACGTCATAAGAAGGGGCGGGGCCCAGAGCTGATCTGACCGCCTGACCATATTTGAGCAAATATTGCTTTTTTTCCCTCAATTTATATGATTACAAAATTACATATTGATAGAAAATCTTAAACAAGCCTCAATTTAATAATAAAAAAATGTATTAAAACAAAATATTAATAATGGATAGAATATTGATTGAACTTATGGCTGCTGAACGCTCTGGCAACCAGACTTTGAAATTAATCATTAATGTGTGAGTTTGTACCAAAAGTCTCAAGATCATCTATAGTTAACAGGTTAATAAACACGAGGTGGTTTTTATTAACACAGAAATGCATTTACTGCTGCGTGAACTAGATCGCTGTTTCTCTTCTCTGTAATTGGTAATGTTTATGTCACCATTAGTTTTGCATTTTCTTGGTTTCCTTGTGTGACTCATGACACTTTTGTCATACTACTGTGAGTGTCTGACCAATGCAGCCTCAGAATCACGAGGGGGTTGTATTCACTTCAATGTGCTGTAGTTGATACAGACATCATAGGGCCCTATTTTTTATCTAATCATACACTCAGATCAAATCCAGGATGTTTTAGGATTAGAGTCCTGTAAGTTGTGAGCTGGAGCCGATTGGACTTTACTGTGCAGAATATCCCAGAGATGCTTGAATTGATTGGGTTCTGAAAATGTTCTGGTCTCTGTTGCTTTGTTTTGTGGCGGAAATGGGTCAGCATTCCTTATATGCAGGAAACCTTGAAGCTCAGCATAATCTGACAAATCTGTGTCAGCTTTCAACCTTGGTCCCTGACTTGGTTATAATGATATTATATATTTAACACAGATACTCTGCAAAAACAGGCTGGTTAAACTGTGCACAAATAAGAAATAACAGCCTTTAAAGGTACACTATGCAACCGGTGTTGATTTTCCAGCGAGACTCCCCCCAGAGGGCGAAAGTAAAAGTGCACTGTCGTAAATATGCACAGCTGTTCTCCTGGTTTCTCCGTCAAGCCAGGCGCGGTTGTTTTGAGCTTAGCAGACAGGCGAACGCAACGAATGACTGCTGCGTTCACACCGCAGCTGGCGCGACAGAAGCAGCGAGTTTACATGCAAAGTCAATGGTTGACGCGCGTCAAGGCGCAGCAAAGGAGCAGCAGGCCCAGCGCGTCTGAGCAGCTGAAGCAGGGAGAGAGACACAGCGCTGATGATCAGAGGCTATGATCTCTCTCCTCTTAAACAGTTTATTGACGCCTAAATTAACTCAAAATGCAGAAATCTGCCGGCAGAATATGCAGTTTGGATTATTTAGATGAAAAACACCTACCAGCTGCCGCGGTGAACCGCGAGGACGTGACCTGGCCAGAGGCTGCTGATGAAGGGGTTCCTTCTGTCGGCGCACCGATGGTATGTGGGGGTCTGAGCGGCTCCGACAGAAAAAATTTTGAAGGCAGGATAATAATCTGAATGAACTGACTGCACTGATTACGTTTTCAGGTGTATTTTCTCATTTAAACACATATTAAAACTACTTTATTCCCACTGATCACAGCAAATATAGCTGCAAGGCAGAGAAAGGATAGTGAAGCTCCGCCCAACGCGCGTCAGACACACTTTTGCACCGCACAGCCAGAGCGTCAGAACTAACTGGTTCAAGCAGCAAAAATGAAGCAGCAGACACGATTTTGCTGCTTTTGCTGCGTGAACGTAGCATAACTGCACAAGGATCGCCACTGTGCTAGCAACGAGAATGCTTTTAACTGGGGGGTGTAGCAGTTCTCGGCCGTAAAGCAAGACTGACTCTCACGAGACTTCTGAGCCTGTGGGTGCGGGTCGGTGCTCCTGCAATTGCAAGTGCAGTATTTCCCCCACAGACCACCAGGGCGGCCGAGAATACCTTTGTTCAACCTGAAATGACTCATTTAATCATCCAAAACGTTATGGAACACATTAATTAACTGAAAAATGTTGCATAGTGTGCCTTTAATATACCAAGACATTCAAATAACAAAGATGCAAATCACACATTAGTGTCATGATGTTATCAAGAGCTCAGACCCACATACAGAGAGACCAATTCAGAGATACCCAGGGAAAGGTTTAACAGGTTTATTTTGGAGACACTGCTCAACCGGAACTGAAAGGTGAGGGGAAGACACTGCGGTTAGTTCAGGCTCAGTAGGAAATTTGATTCTCGAACTTGAAGAGGAGAATTTGGTAGATAACTCATGTTTCCAGAGAAGTAGCTGACCTTTAGACTCCATTCAGTGTGCGGTAGTTGCAGTGTTTGTCTAATTCGGTGGAGGGCAGACAGGGTTTACCCAGAATGCGGTTGTTTGTAGGCGAACGGAGAAGCTGACTGCAACTCAGATTTCCTGCGGTACTTGGAACGGGTCGTAGTGGAGATGAATCCCTTTCTCAGTGTGAAGCTCAAATGATCTCTTGATGGAAAGTGGGTTCAAACCTCCAGTTTGAATCCTAAACTCAGCTTGAAGCACAGATGTTCCTTCCAGGGAGAGAAGGTCCGAAAAATCCACTTTGCAGAATGACTTCCTGCCGAGAGGCAAAGACAAAAACAAGATTAAAACTAAGGTTGACAAGAACTCAGTTTGACTCAGCAAAACTCAGCTTGGCTAGAGTACCCAAAACTGGCAAATACTCTGGCGTTAAGGTAGTGGCAGTCAGTAGCTTAAGAGTGCTCCGTTAATGAGGTAACTCACAGCAGGTGTGTAGCGAGGTGGACCAGAACCAGGCGCCTCCTGGTGGAGGAAGGGAGACAAACACAGAAAAACACATACACAGACAGGAATCCTGACAATTAGACTTTTACAGAAGATCTCATATGAATATATTAGACTCAATATTTGTGCTTGTTTATTCATTAAAAGGTTTAAAAATATATAATTTCGATGCGGCTGTATGTAGCTGTGGCTGAAAAAGCTGTGTCTGCAGTGCCAGGTGCAGAGGTAACCCCCAAACCTTGTGATGGACCTCAGCAGTAAGGGATGCTGTCAAGCTAAAGAAGGGGTCATATTGAGCTTGTTTTAACTCTTAAGGCAGCAATCAGGTATTGTGGGGCCAAGTATGCCGTTGCCCAGATGGTTGCGGAGACAAATATTTGAACCTGGGAGGGGTTTAGAGAAACTATGTGGAAAAGCTGTCGGTGAGCCCCAAAGGGACTGGCAAACTGTCCGACACCCATGGAGGGGTAGGCAGTGCTTTACCAACACTGTTTTTAATGGGGGTTAGTGGCTGCTGACCCTAGATGAGGACATTTTCAAATGGCAGAAGGAACACTGCGAGGATCTCCTAAACCTGTTTAACAGGTCTTGTGTGGCAAAAGAAGAGACGGGGTGCTCAGTGCCTGATTTGTTTCCCCACTAAGGTTAATGTTACCAAGCTGGTCATAAAATTCCTTGTAGCAAGGCTTCAGGGGGAAGGAGATCACCTTGAGCACCTCAGATCTCTGGATGTTGCCGGATTGTTGTGTCTGACACGTGTCTTCAGCATCCCATGGCGATCGAGGAGAGTGCCCATTGACTGGCAGTCTGGGGTGGTTTTTCCCTTCCATAAGAAGTAATGCTCTGTGAAAAGCAATGCCCATTGCATCTGCTGTAATAGTGTCCTCTGCTCCAAGTCCTTTGAAATCCAACAAATGCATACGCTAGAGGTGTGGGCAGAGCCAAGGGATTCGAGGCAGAACAGAAAATTGGTTGTTTCTTATTAGGGGAGAAGGAAGGAAAGCTTGTCTGAGTACAGCACATTTGGAGTAGAGTTAGAGATTGCGGAACAAATCTCATTAATTACCATATCAACATAATAGCTCAGTCGAGCAGACGGCAGGGTACGTTAGCGGCGCAGACATGGAGGAAGTGGAGTTTAGTGGTAATGATGACCTTGCACCAGTCTGTTGGGAGGAGACAGCTGAGTGAAAAGGCTAAGCTCTCAATTTGCAGTCTGTCTACGTTGCCACCCTCATCTGGATCATGATTGAAAGAAGGAGACCACTGAGCATAATGTTGAGCATAATGTTGGAGCTCTGTCTGTTTTTCAGTGTAGTCCTGTTTCTGACTGGGACTAACTGGATGAGTTCTCTTTATCATCTGACAAGGGAGTTGGCTCGGTGTTTGTCTGCCAGTCTGTGTGTTTCCTGGACTGGGCTGTATGTGGAGCTGGTTGACAGTTACCTTTTGTATCTCTGTTTTTTTTCTACATGTCCGCTTCTGTATCCTTGAACCCCAGTCGACCTCAGCAGATGGCCGCTCACACTGAGCCTGGTTCTGCTGGAGGTTTCTTACTGTTAAAAGGGAGTTTTTCCTCTCCACTGTCGCTACAAGCATGCTTGGTTTAAGGGATTGCCTTTGAGTCAATGAGTCAAAGCAATCAAATGGTTTTCCTTAGATAGAAAACTTTGAATCAGTTTGACTGTATAATCTGGTTGAATTGTCTGTTAAAGTGTCTTTAACAGACAATATGTTGACATATGTTGTAAATTGACACTTTGTAAATAAACTGAATTGAAAACTGAATTGAATGGTAGCAACTCAGAGGTCCATTCAGAGTAATTGTCCACCTGGACGACCAGTTTTATGTCTTCAGATGTAGGTGTAAAATTCCCACATTTATGTAACACTAAACAACAACGTACTGCCACCCAGCTTTGTGTCGGTTATGATGGTTTTTCTTCAGCACTCCTTTTTCCTCTGAATGTAATGATTGGGGATCACAGTAAAACCTTTCAAAGCAAACTACTCTCTGGTATTTTTATTTGCTTCTTTCTTTGAGCAATTTAAAAACAGGCCAACATGGACATCTTTCAGTGTGAATAAACACTCTCTAACCTTCTACCTTTTGTCCAGGGGTTGCTATGCAGAGTTTGCTCTAAAACTGAATCTTTGGGACACAGAAATCCTCTCCTTCCTGGGCGTTTTAATTGCTGCAGATTTCCATTTATATTTGCATAGATAGGATTCTTTGAAGAGACGGAAACACATTTGTGGAGGTACATAATTCTCTCACGGATACCTTGGCTGCTTTATTTTTATTTCTCCCATGATGTCACATCAGGAAGCAGGTGTTAACTTAAATCCAATCACAACTGTAACTAAAACTAATTTAAAAGTGAGGTGTCTTAAATTAACTATTGCCACCTTTAAAAGGTAATATTTTAAAGCTGAATTGTTTATTTTATTGTGTAACAGAATTCAACCAGACTAACGATCCATAGTTTTATAAAATGCTCTCAGAATGTTTAATTTATTCCAGTCCTTTCTACCATTGAACTATCATTCCTAATCCGGATCCAATATTGTTTTGCATTTTTCTCTGGGGTCAAAATCTACAACTTCAGTCGTGAACTTTACCTGGAGTCGCAAAAGGAAGACTTTTGCATCGATGTACCAGCTTTATTATCCATGCAGCCATAATTCATTCAATCAAGTACAACTTGCAACTGTTTTTAAGGTCATATATTTTAATGCTGACTATATTCGCAGAGGATTGTGTTGAACGTTGTTTTCAGCTATAAGATGTCTCAAGATGTTTATTTTTGTGAACCCTGGCTAGTAGGAGTTGATGCTCCTCTACCATTTTTTTGGGGTAGATCTGTCGACGTAACGCTTTCTGGGTACATGATGCAGAAAATCAGTGCATCAGGGTGCTAAAATGATGTCATTAGCCTGTGCGGATCTCTCAGACGCGTCAAGGATAAACCAGGCTTAAGACATAATCAAAGCTACAAACCGACTGCGGTAATTTCCACCTACACTGCATTGAGTTGACTGCTGTGCATTTCAGACTCACCTCAGCTTCATGGCGCTCACCGAGGACCACGTCATCATATAGGAGGAGATTAAGCATCATTCTGCCTAAGAATATAGTGACGGCTTCATCATATAATGAAGTGTTAAATATTAAATCTTTTAAAGGAAGTGGAGGTTTGTGATTTAGGATGAACCTGAAATATAACCGTTCCTTTCAGATTCCACGCACATACACCATTTTCAGAGAAGATTCATATCTGTTCTCAGACTGCTACCTTTGATCCCTCCCTCCTTCTAACCTAAATAAGCAAATCTCAGGCATCCTCCTCCAAGGCAACGCAGAGATGTGGAGATCTTGATCTCAAACCCTAGTTGGACTCATATTTCTTCTTTACCATTGTTCTGCAGAGATCTGGTGTCAATTTATCCAGATAAGCTTATCATAGCAGTTCCCTGTGGCAAAACCAAGGCCTCTATAATGGTTGGAAAATGTGTGGAGTTTAGACGGAGAGGCTGCAGGTTTGTTGTGGAGGAAGTTAAGTAGATTAGAAGAAAGGTGGAGGGGTAGAATATATCTATATGTGCTCAGAGAGCCGTGGGATGGGAATGTGAGCAGCAGACAATGGTGTTATCTGCAGACCGGACCAGATGACGCTATGTTACGTAAGCTGTGTGTTTGTGTGTGTCTGGAAAGCACTTGCCAACCTTTGCTAATGGAAAGGATCTCAGACTTGATGAATTGTTTGTCCAAACCAGGTTGAGTCTCATTGGGACGTCTTCATCAGAGCAGGATTTTATTTGATCCCTGTAGAAGCATCTCTTTTTTTAATTTTTTTTCCCCAGCTGGCAGCTTTATTTTATTGACGATACCAGTATTTGTGGCTTTGGACGCTTGAGGCTAATCTACTGTGACGTCTGTCTGTGAAACTGAATACGTGCCTTCAGCTGGTGCTAGCTTTTCATTTGGACATGAAGCCTGTGTTAGTGGATTAAGGCTCTTTGCATGATTTCATAAAAGGGTTGTGGGTGGGGGGGGGCATCTTCTGAAAAACATGTCAATTATGATTAGGGTTCACGGATTAATTGTCTTATATATGGCTGTCATCACTAACAATAACAGAATGGATCTGAGGTCGGATTCAGCGTCGGGATGATTTCATCGTTGATTCTCTGTGGTTTTAAACATTAAATGCTTTTATTACAGCAATATAACCAGACTGTATTTGGTTTCTGTGATTCTATAAATATGCTGGTGAAGATTCTCAGTCATCCAGGTCATAGTCATTCCAAAAAAGTATCCACTGGACTTTGTTTGCAAGTTTGAAGACGTTTCGCTTCCCATCCAGGAAGCTGTTTCAAGTCAAAATGCCAGAAATGGCGTTGAGTTCGAGGCTTTATACAGTAGCCCAACAAAGCCTTGTTTTTGTTTAGAAAATATACAAAATGATCCCAACAGGTCCACCCCTTTGGATTGGGGTACGTTTGGCTTCTTTTGTTAACCTGCAATGCCTCATACGTTTCTATGTCTCTTATAGAGGAGTCGTTAAAGGGAAGCCTCAAACTAAATGTTTGCAGGAGTTTAAAAAATCTCAATCTATCAAATTTCAATCTATCAATTACCTTTAACATATTGATTTATGGCTGCTGAGTTTCATTAATTCAGGCCTTAGAGTTGCAAGGCTTCAGGATGTCTAAGGGAGAGGGTTGTTTATCCTGTAAGGGAGTGTTTGGGACATTTCCCCTTGGCTCTACCTTGGCCATACTGTGGCACCATCTTTCTTATACCTCATCCAAAATACTTAGGTTATCCTGAACCATTTTTCTTGCATTTGTGCTGCTTTTTTTATGATTCTAGCTCTATTCTCCCACTCTGCAGTATTTGTTGTTTCAATCTCTAACAATCTGCTCTATCTGCTTTTTCTCATCATAGTAGCTTGACTCCCAAACTGTAAATATGATTCATCCATCCATTTGCCATCACGCTTATCCCAGTTGGGGTATCGAGTAGGAGTGTAAATCACATTCATCATGGCGATTCGATTCAGTATCGATTTCCTGACCCAACGATTCGATTATTTTTGATACTTAAGAATACACCAAGATACGATTCAATGCGATTAATTGGTTCATTTTTTTTTACACCTTACAAGCTAGACAATGTTTCAAATTTGAAATAAATCAATGAAAGCTGTAATATCGCTATGCATTTTTTTTAGAAACTACAGCAAATAACAGAAGTAGAAAAGTTGCACTCCACCTATTCCTATTAAAACCTCATTCACTGAAAAATAATAATGCCCCTGCGTTATAGATTCTGAAGGCCTTGCATCAAAAAACACTGCACAAAATCAGTGCAATGAGTTCAATGCAATACCTCGGCTCCAGACGTCCCCGCCCGGCTTTTTTGTTTTTATGACCGAAATTGCGAAAAACAACTTGTCAAGTTAGAGCCTTTTTTCACCTGGATCTCCGCTCTATTTGGCCCTCATGTCCCTCCGTCGTCGGACTAAACTCGCCCCCACTTCCTCACCGCATCGGCCGTATCTAGACCCACAGTGTGTAGCACAGACCACGCTTCAATATTGAGCATAAATCAAAAATGTCTGTGTCAAGCTCACTGCAACACACTGCTGTAAGAGTATAACCAGGAAGCGAGGTAGGAGGGCAAAATAGGTTTAGCGCCACCGCAGCATGGGAGGGAGAATTACGTCCAGGAGCGAATGGATAAAAATAGACCGGAGGGAAAAAAAACATGAATCGATTCTCTTGCGGACGTGTCGATGCATCGGATCGTCGGCTTTTGGATCGATGCATCGAT